TAGTCAGGCGTGGCCTGACCCTTGCGAAAACGGAGGGTCAGGAACCTCGTATATATATACAGTGCTTTGCAGGTTGCTTGACCCAGTTTCTGCTCACGTGACATGTATTACTAGTATGGTGAGAGTCACGTGATTAACTAGTTTGCAGGGTCAAGCAACCTGCAAAGCACTGTACCAGTCTTGTTAGCTGCTGCAGAAATTCTGCAGTGACGCATTATGACTAGCTATGACTATGTAACTTCAATAACCATTAATATTAATTGAAAATGGATGTTGATACTGTAGCTAACCTTTTTGGCATCCACTCTCTGCATCTGGAGCAAAGGCATGCAGTCACTCACTTTTTAAATGGAAAGGACGTGTTTATTGTACTTCCTACAGGCTTTGGAAAGTCCTTTTGCTTTCAATGCCTACCACTATGTTTATGAGGTGACACTGTTATTATAGTGATATCTCCTTTAATTGCACTTATTAAAGATCAGGTAGGCCTAGTGTGTTGAATATTAGTATCATTGTTTGTGTTATAGGTTCAGGATCTAAGGTCTAAAGGACTGTCTGCTGGCTGCATTATTGGAGAGGATGATTGTGAGGAAATGAAAAGTGGTGTCAAAAAAGGCAGCTTCCAATTAGTTTACTTTATGCCAGAGTCAATGCTACTGCGCAAGAAATATAGAAAAATAATTTCGTCAGAACTGTATCAGAAAAGAATTCGTGGTTTAGTGATTGATGAAGCACACACAGTTAAGAAATGGTAAAACTGAATTATGTACAAAGTTAATGACTGAATGAGACAATGATAGTAACATAATGTTGATTAATAATTACTCTATTTGTACAGGGGTATGTCGTTGAGAGATACTTTAATGAATTTGGGGGAAGTTCGCAGCATAGTTCCAGAAGGTACTCCTTTGATGGCATTAACTGCAACTGCTACAACTGCACTTCGCCATCAACTAGCAAATATTTTGGGAATGAAAAATCCTGAATCAGTGATACTACCTCCCTGTAAGCCAAATTTGACGTATGAAGTTAATGAATTTTCTTCAACCTCTGATAATTTTTCTGCTTTGCTAAGTAAACTACAAAAGCAACGCACAACTTTCCCAAGACTATAATTTACTGTAAAAAAACTGTTGAGTGTGCTGATCTTGATTTTTTCTTCAAAATGGGCATGAAAAGTGAATTCACAGAGCCAATAGGGGCACCTGACTTATCTCAATTTCGATTAGTTGAAATGTTTACGAGCTGTACAGATAGTGAAGTTAAAAATCAAATCATTGCATCCTTTACACAAGCTGAGTGTACTTTAAGAATAGTGTGTGCCACTATTGCTTTTGGCATGGGCATTAATTGCCCTAATGTTAGGCAAGTAATACATGTTGGTGCACCAGATGACATTGAGTCATATATTCAAGAAACTGGGCGTGCTGGACGTGACGGTCTACAAGCTAATGCATTACTTTTAAAAAAGTCTTCATTGCAGCATCTAGATGAAGACATGAAATTATATGTTTCTGTCAGGGACTGCCATAGAAAGCTTTTATTTACTAAAATGGAAGGCTATAACAGTGTCGCTCACTTTGTTCCCCCTAGCATCTGCTGTGACTATTGCATGAACCTATTGTAACATTGTCAATAATTTTTATTATTAATTTAATGTTGCGTAATATTAACTTTTGTGTAAATGTCCAGTCATCCACTCTATCAAATGACATTCTTTATTCTTGTGTAACAATGATGTGAACTGTTTATTAAAATACGAATAATTTCTGCCTGAAATGTTTGCAAAAACTTCACTTTTCTGTAAGTGTTTCACTACTTCATGTACTTCCTTAGTATCACAAGGTGCTTCATGTCTAAAATGGTGTTGATTTCATTTTCCTTATCAAAATTTTCTAGTATTGGAGATAGTGAACCAATTGCCTTTCCCAACCTTATAAAAGCATTTTCTGTTTTATTTGGACCCAGGTGAGCCACTCCTTGTTTCAATACTCTGTTAAGGTGCTCCATATGCAAGTCTAATGAAATGTTACACCCAGGATAGCCACTGGTGTTTACAAATCTAGAATAAATTAGCTTTTCTGCCTCTTTTGGAGGTAAAAGGTACTGATGCTGATATAGCAACAAAACACCTTCCATTGCATAATTCTTTCGATTAGAATTATGAAACAGAACAGCCAAGTAACGCCAGCACCTCAGTACTCGCTCCCCATCTCCCTCTCTGACAGAATCAGCAAACTCTAAATATAAACATGCCACACTAAAAAGTTGTTTTGCATATGAAGAGATGTTGTCATTGGATACTGTAAGAGTCTGATTGTATTGTACATTGATATAATTATCAGCTATACTTGTGACTATTCAATCCATAGCATCATTACGCTTTTCCTTGTCCTCTAACCAAAACTCGGATGGTAATGAAGATGGAATATCGTCCACTTCTTTCATACCTAAAACTTCCATAGCAGCCAAGGTGACATATGACCAAATAATTAACATTAGAAAATCTTCACATGCATTTAGGTCTTTCTTCGGTGAAGTGACAACATTACATCTTCCAAGTACATTCCTCAATTGATATGCAGTACCATGGTCACCTGATGATTCTTTGCGAACAAAGTACTTCCATATGACCTAATCATTTAAAATCATACCTTTATGTCAAGTATAAAAATGAGCACTCACTTCAAAAAGAGTAAGCTTAGTATGCCAATCTTCCACTGTAGGTATAAATCCATTTAATTTAGTGCTCGGTGTCTGGCTATTTGCTTTTGATTTGAGTGCTCCACGGGCACGAGCCTGAGAAAGTTGGTCCCCTCCTAAAAGAATGTGGTGCACTTTCTCATCTATCACTGTGACTTCTTTGGAGTTGTCATTTCCAGGAACTTGATACTGCCTAGTACTTACTACTTTAGGGACGTACTGGTGCAAGTGTTCCAAAATTTCCTTCATTTCTTTTGTCTTATTTTCATTTTTGGGTAAAACTCCTAATGGTACCTATTATGAATGAAATAACAATCAATAATATAGCTAAAATTAATTAATAACATACCACAGTAGATTTACTAGACATTTCCTTGTACCTTCTATGAACAATATGTCTGCACACCAGGTCAGAAAAATTAACTTCAAAAGCAGGCAGTGTTTGTAGTAATATTCTTGAAAACAGTATCTTAAGATTTGCAATAAGGCAGTCATCATCATTGACTGATGGAAGAAGTGATTTGGCAATATATGTAGGTGAAGGTAGGCAAGAGTCTGGTTTTTGGCTAGGTAAATCATCAACATTTATCCTTGATTTGACAGCAAAACTGTGATAATAATGCAGCGATTTTGTCCGTATATCTGATCTCATATAGCGAGGTGTTACGTTTTTGTCTACGTTGTCCCCAACAATTTTGAAAGAGGTACAAAGAGGTTCTGAATCTGCTATGCATTGCTCATTGTCTGCAATGGATACAATTCATAATACTTTAGCATAACAAGGATATATCATACCTTTTTCTGTAACTACTTCTTGCTGTACATCTGACAGTGATACTTGAAATTGTTCAGTAGAGCTATCGTCATCATCCGAAGCTGAACTTGTAACAGGAGATAATGGCAGAGGATCACAAGATGTATCACTATTACAGTCTTCACACTCATCATCAACAGAAGAATCAGAGCTTCTTAAGCTGAGACTGTCTTCATTATCAGGCCCAAACAATATTCCATTATCTGCTGCACTAAATGCGTGATCCTGTTTTGCATGAATTATTGATTAAGTATGATTGATTATATAATCTACCTCTTTCAAAAGTACAGAAACAATATCATCCCTCCACTTCTTTACTTCCACATCATGGTCTTTACTGATAAAATTGACTGTTCTGTTAACAGTTGTGTAAGTTACTGATAGTCCAATGCTACAAAGTCTCTGAAATGCCTGCATGCATGTATTCAATTAATGCATATCATGAAAAAAATATCTTACATCTTTTGAGCAATGACTTGAATAGAGTATTAAACCAACTATCTTCTGTAAAAGACACGTGTGAGAAACGATGCTTTAAAATAATTGAAGCACAGACACATATAACGGCAATGTGATTTGGACGGGGTGTTCGAGTTTTTGTTGCAGCTTCAAGAAAAAAAAGTAATGTGGGAGCATTTTCTTCCAATTCTTTATGGATCTCCTTCCACTTGAAAGATCGCAAGTCATCAGCAGATGTGCTATATAAAATTGAATTCTTTGTACTAGTCAATTTTATTTCAGTTCAAATTTTCCTTCCAATTGCTTCTTGAATATGTTCATAAACTTTTTTATGTGAAAGACAATGTCTAGCAAATGACTGAAAACTGCCACGAGCAAGCGATGTTTCAATTTTCTTTAGCTGACTTGGAGGTGGTACCTATGAACTGTTTTCTCTCTTTCAACCTGTAGCTATATAATATACATTTAAATAAAACATGCGTAATAATGTGTAGACATACCAAAACTTTTGGTGAAATTGTTTTGCTTTCTCTCGCCTTTTTCCGAGGTGAATTTGTCTTCAAGTTTTCTAAGGTACGTTTCATTGGAAGTGAAGACTGTGAACTAGTTGGAGTACATGTAGAAGTTAGTTGATTTTCAACCTCAGTTTCAGATATCATTCCACCTAATTTTACGAAATATATTAGCCATTAAATCATGTGTAGTGAAATCTACCTTGCTTGTATGACTTGATAACTGATAATGCATTTTTCATTTCTTTCTTCATTTCCTTCTTCACAGATTTAAGCTTAGCAATCTTCTGTAGTGATGCTGCACATGGCCTACATATTCTACCAGGCACTATTTCACTGGAGTAGAGGATGTCATCAGAAGTCTCTTCTACAGGAAGCTCCTCAAATAACTCCCTCCATATCGACAAAAGATCATTAAAAGATTTGCTAAACATACTGTAACGATTGTTCGCTTGGGCAGTGATGTTACTTCCACAGCAATAACAGATTACAGTCTTACGAGTCGCCATTACTTCTTTATTTATAATTATTTTTTATTATCAATTAATACACAATTATTATTATTATTATTATTATTATTAGCTATTAATTTATTCATTGCGATGACATAGGCTGCTACAGCAGCTACAGCTCCACCCGAAGCCATAGTAGTTGAAAACAAGTCTGGTATACACGAGGTTCCTGACCCTCCGTTTTCGCAAGGGTCAGGCCACGCCTGACTAGGTCAGCAACTTATAATGAATGTATCTACTATTTCATGCTGAAAAGAATAACCTACTTCCATGGTGTGCAACAGAATTGTGAAAAGGATCAAATTACGTTTTCTTCAATTATAATATATTTTTTAAGATGACTTAGACTCTTCCAAATTTAGCGTTGAAGAATGCCTCTGTTTCTTATACAAAATGAAGTTGGAGTACAATTTCAACACGTAAATTCCAAGTAAACAATGCATTTTCATACATGATATAACCAAAACTTAATTGTCTTGAAGTGAAGTAAAGAAACATTCATATAATTTTTGACTAGAATTTATAGTTATTTTTAGAAATAAATTATAAGAATCAAGCTAAAAGAATAGTGACTGCAGAAATAGTCATGCCTTTTGTTGCTAATTAGTATTATCTAAGTGGAAAAAAATAATGATGGTTTGTACCTTAAACATCAGGGACTCAATAGCATGCAGTTTGTATGCAACAAATAGGGCTTAACAAATGTATGCTAAACTGTTTAAAAGTCGAGAAAAACTAAAGCTTTCTTCACCGCTTAGGGTCATGTGCCACCATTACAGTGTGTGTGTGTGTAGGTGGAGCAAGGCTTGATTATGAGCCACACCTTCATTGCAGCCACACCTTTACATTGCTGCAGCAAGCAGCTCAGCAGTGCAACAAACATAATGAAGCTTCTCTGTCTAAAAACAGAACATTCTCTGTCTCAAAACATTCACAAAGTTTTAATAAATCTAGTACATGCTGACGCTTCTTAGACTCTGTCTCAAAACTTTTACTAATTTTATTTAAACTGTTACATACAGATTGTGGCGAGGGCATGCACTTTAGTGCTCTTGTTCATTCATTCTCTCCAGAAGCAATCTTTCACTTTGAGGTATTGTGGTTTTAGAAGGGGGTCCCCTATACTCAGATAACTTCTCCACACACTAGAAAAAGTTACTTTCTTTATTTTTATCAAGTATAGATGGCAGTGCAAGGCACCAAAAGCTAACAATCTTGCCAAATGTAGGTAGGTTCTCCTATCATTTTGTCATGCTTCCAGTAACAGAGCTATCTAGTATCTCTAAAGAGACACAAACCTTTTCTTTAAAAAAATATGTAGCGTTTTTCTGTAACTTTCTTTGTCTTGAAAAAAGGAATGCCTAAAAATTACTTACCTCTTGACTTTACACGAGGCGCTTGTCCTTAGGAAGAGTAGTTTAGGCCTGTAAACTTCAGACGCTTGACAAGAGTTTGTATGGAACAAATAGGGCCTACTAAATGCTTGTGTACACTGAGTAGAAGTCTAAAAAACTCAAGCTTCTTCCAACAGTTACTAGCAATCAAGATTTGACACTTTCTCTGTATTGTAACAACTGCCCTTGCAACTGCCATTAGGCCTTGGCGGATTATGCCAGCATAATTTTGAGCATAATAGGCCCCAAAAGCATAAGCATAATGTGAGCATAATAGAGCTATAATAAAAAATTTTGAAAAAAATGCATTGAGAAGTGCAATAAACAGGCACTTACACTCAATAAATTAACTTTTTTCATGTTTAAACAGATACTATTGCTCATGATACTTTCAAGAACTTCATAATTGAATTACTGCAGTACTGGCTCACATTTTTGGGTGGGACTAAGTTATTATAATGAAATTCATGGGCATAATTGGGAGCATAATAGCTGATTGGTAGAGCATAATAGAGCTGTTTCCTGAGAATTGCATCATAGCATAATAGAGCAATTTTAGAGCATAATCTGCCAAACCCTAACTGCCATGCTGTCAGTTTGCAGCCACACCCAAACACCCTCACATTTAATTAGAATATGAAGAATGTAATCAAAACTATAGCAATAAGCAAGTAGCTTTTAATACACTGGCACAAAATATAGTTTTGAAATCACGTGTAAAACAAAATTAATATTGTTTTTCTTTGTTTTAGCAAGGCCAATGCACCATTGGTGTCTCGTTAATACAATTGAAACTTATACTACTGAAGGTATAAATATCACTAGAAAGAATGTAAAACATTGAGGGGCTCTGCCTCCTTGCCACACCTTCTAGTCATGCCCTCAAACATACATACATACAGAAATTCTCATATGTAAGAGCTTCGCTCAATTACATGTATATTAATACCATTATTATACCAGCATTGTGAGTAGTGTAATGGGTGTGGTTATTAATACTAGACCATACCCACTCTGATCTATCTTACCTCTTATCAATGTCTTGCTAATCAACAATATATGTATACCCATATCCACACCTTCCACTGGTATAGTATAACGTAGTCTAAGAACAGCATCAGGTATAGCATGTACTGATATACTGCAGGAGGGAGGGTCAGGATAACCAGGTGTACCAAACTTATCAACATCCCTTCTAAATATCTATTGATACACACACACACATTAATTATATATATACATGATACAAGTACTTACTCTACAAGGTACTGTGTGAGGTTTAATAATCCATCCAGTGGTTGGTTCATCTTGTGGAGTATCAAATTTTAATTCCATATATTCATCTCTAAGTGTGGAGTCTTGCTGGACAAATCTAAATCTGATAGCCGAAACTCCCTTAGCTGCCTTAGGGTGTTTCCTTCTCTTATACTGTAAATAAACACATTAATACACATCAGTACACAATATATATATATATACCTCATTATAATACACTTACATCATCGAGTGTGCCTCTATCTTTAGCTACAGTAAATATTGCTACATATTCATTTAAACCTTTCTCTTCATAAAATAACCATCCTTTATATTCAGTATCACTTCCTAATTTAAAGTGAAATAAAGTGAAGCAAACACTAACACTTGATACCTGATCCACCAGTGGCCATCCTGACAGTTCACTCCCACACAACAAACTATTTACTGATCACGTGACACAAACTTATCACAACAACCAATGAATAATATTAAACACTAAACACATAACAATAGGCACACATAACATCTCTTATTAAATAGATCTATAATATTAAATTATAATAATCTGGTTTAATGAATTCATTAATAATATCATCAACAGTACGAGAGAGTGTCTTTAAGCAAGAGTCCATTATAAATATAATGGACTCTTGCTTTAAGTGAGGACTTGTCAACACTAATAATAATAATAATATTGAATATTAATATATTGTAAAATGGCGGTAAAAACATACTGTACTCCAGGAGGACTGAACATGTACACATAATATTTGATCTTTGGTTCAGTCCCTGAGGCCCTCAAAGTAAACTCACAATTATTAACCAAAAAGAACATAATCATCTGACTACCAGGATCAACTGGTAATACCTGTTTGGAATACTAGTAATACCCACTGGTATTATAATACTAGTAAACCTGTTTGACAGGTTACACTCACTGCTTAATTTATAGTGAGGCGGTCTGTTACTGTCATACCCAACAATAATATCACATACACTAGTAAGACCAGCTGGACCACAAGCAAGGGGATACTGTGAGAGAGAGAGGGAGGGGGGAGAGAGAGAGGGAGAGAGAGATGTCATTAATTAGTTAAATGTGTACTATTACCACTTGCGTATCCAGAAACTGAAAAAGGGGGTGCTGAGGGCATGCAAAGCACGCCGTAATTTTGGCCACACCCCTTTTACGGCGGTAAAATGGCTTTTTCCTTCATTTTCCTGAAATATGGGTGTGGTCAAGATAATTTCAACCATACTGGTACTTCTGACGACTTCTAATTGCTTCTTAAAGCACTGGAAACTGCTGAAATCATGATCAGGAAGTTAGATAACTTTGTTAGGAGGCTTGGCAATCAGTGATGCAAGAGTCCAGGATTGAGTAATTTTTTCTGAGCCCAGCCATAAGGGGGGTGCTCAAGCCCCCTTAGCCCCCCCCTTGGATACGCTAGTGACTACTGGTACACATTCTGGAGTTGCTACTCCTACCTGTCAGTATATCAGTGAGACTATGTACATAGTTAATGGCTCATTCATTATTAATTACCAGTGACAGCTGCTGCTACCTGCTGTTGCTTTTATGGAATGCACCCTAATCTACTCCCACTATATCTTCACTCAAGCAGATATCTCAGTCCTCAGGTATATTACATTACTTATACACACACACCTCCCAGACATGCATGCAGGCTGGACTACATGTACATGCATAGACTAGCCTCTATATAATTGACACTTTGGACCAAAAAAGAGTGTTTCTGTTATTTAGAGGTGTCCTTTATGTGGAGGTTATTTTATACAGTAAGGAATGTAATTGGTACACTAAGGTTCTGAGAGAGAGAGAGGGAGGGAGAGAGAGAGAGAGGAGGGGAGGGAGGGAGGAGGGAGCTAGGGAGGAAGGGAGGGAGGGAAGGAGGGGAGGGGAGAGAGAGGGAGAGAGAGAGAGAGAGAGATACTGTATAGAAGGAAATTTTGGAGGTATAGTTAAATTCGGCGAATTTTGGCATTTCAATAGCCATTCGCCAAAATAAAAATGCTCAATGGCACATGGCCACAAATTCGCCAAATTAAAATTCACCAACCACCAAAATTTAGCAATTCGCCAAAATTTAGTCCCTCCAAAATTTCCTTGTGTACGGTAATTTCACTAGCTAATTATAACTACTTGTTCATCTTTTCTCAGTCTAGTAAAAATTGGGGCTAATTTCGAAGCCATTTTTTGGAAAAAAGCTATAGTACAGGGAATTTTTCAAATTTTGGCCAATTTTTTAAAATGGTCGTTACTTGAAAAATTAAAGTCAGAATTGGCTCAAACTTTCTACACAACATAAGGACATCAATATGTATCAGAAGATGTAATAAAAAGTGGGAATAATTTCGGAGCCAATTTTC